AACGTTGTCGCATTTTCAAAGATCCTTTGGCAAAGGCTGCATTCAAAGTCACCAAATGGCTTTTCAGCTCAGAAGTGCCCACGTTATCGAGATCTAAGACATTCATTTACACATCATCCTGTATTCGTTTAGTATGTTTCCATGTATTATTTGTCCTTCTCCTCCCTTGTGAATAAAGACAATATTTCCTCTAATTCCTTCTGAGCATCTTGAATTAGATTTAAACCTAATGATTTATTTATTTTTTGTGAAAGATAATCGCATATTACTGTACAAAGATTCATTGAAAAGTACAGGTACCAGAAGCCGATCAAGGCTCATGCACATGCTTGAGATAGTTGAGAAGCATCTCCAAAAAAAAAAAAAAAAAAAAAAAAAAAAAAACCCAGAATGTGCACATCAGATTCAAACATTTGAAGAATTCAAGATCAGAGATCGGAACTTCAAGCTTTCAAAATCAAGAGTCAACAACGACAGGCCACCGGAAATCAAGATTTCTCTCCAGAGCCCATAATAACATATGTTGCCCATACATTTTAGGCATACCTAAGAGCATGACATCCATACCATCGCATATATGCATATCTTTGCAGGTTTTACCCAGAGCCAATTTCAACTTCACAACGAAGGATATTGGACTCCAGACAACAAGTTCAACTTCACGACGAAGGGACCGCTGGTTGTCAACAAACATTTCTCAAATTCAGAGCCAATTTCAACTTCACAACGAAGGATATTGGACTCCAGACAACGCAAGTTCAACTTCGCGACGAAGGGACCGCTGGTTGTCGACAAACATTTCTCAAATTCAGAGCCAATTTCAACTTCACAACGAAGGATATTGGACTCCAGACAACGCAAGTTCAACTTCACGACGAAGGGACCGCTGGTTGTCTACAAACATTTCTCAAATTCAGAGCCAATTTCAACTTCACAACGAAGGATATTGGACTCCAGACAACGCAAGTTCAACTTCACGACGAAGGGACCGCTGGTTGTCAACAAACAATTTCTCAATTTCAGAGCCAATTTCAACTTCACAACGAAGGATATTGGACTCCAGACAACGCAAGTTCAACTTCACAACGAAGGGACCGCTGGTTGCCAACAAGTAATTTCCCGGTTTTAGAGCCAATTTCAACTTCACAGCGAAGGATATTGGCCACGAAACAACGCATCTTGCATTGGATTTCAACTTCACGACGAAGGATATCCAATTCTCAGGCTCAAATTCACGACGAATGAGCCATATACAATTCCAACTTCACAAACAGATTGACTCAACTTCACGACGAGAAAGTCATCTGTGACACCACAACACCAAAGTCTTCAGGTCAAGTTTCACCTTCACAATGAAGTACCTTGAGCCAGAAGAGGATTCAGAGATCACTTGCCAAAAGCTTTGAGCTCGTTCTCAACCTCACAACGAGGGAATTCGTGCTCAAAATATTCCAGTTTTGACTCAACCTCATGACTAGGGAGTCATTTCGTGATTTAAAAACCAGTTTCAACATCGAATTTCAACTCTACGACAGAGGATATTCGATATGGACGAAATTTATGTCTTTTAATCTTTGCTCTATTTCGTTACACGACAATGAGCAAAGAGGGGCAGCTGAATACACTAAATTTCGTCCTTATATTATAATATATATTTATTATAAATTATATTATATATTTATTTACAGGGCCCAACAGTGGACCAAACCCAAGTCCCACGTGACCCAACAGCAGCCCAAGTCAAGAAACTCTATGGCAAATTAGGGTTTCAGCCGCCTCTCTCCACCAGCGCAACAGTCCTCCTCTCGCACGCCTTTATCACGTCCCCAACAGTCCGAGTCCTCCGGCGCAAGAATCACAGCCATCATCAACAACCCACATTAATATTTTACTCGAATTAGAACACTAAATAGGCTGGTATTTTCACTATAAATAAAGATGTAAATAGAACACTCAAAAGAGAAAAAAAAAAAAAAAGGGAGGAGATACGAGTGATACACAAAATACGCAGAAGGAATACTGCAAAATACTAAGGGTTACACAATTTCAGAGCACTTTGCTGTAAACATTCCGAGAGAAATAAAAAGGTAGTGTTTTATTTTTACCTTGTTCGTTCGTTTGCTTCCCTTGCATGTTGATTTTGCGTGATATTTGGCTCGAACTAAACCAAAACCGAACGGTCGAGGATCCGGGGAAGGGGGTTTCTTCCTTCGAAATCCCTCTCTGGGGCTATGTATCTTGAGAAATAAAATGATTTTTAGAGGGGAGAAGAGCTATCGAATTTTTTTTTTAAAAGAAAACTTGAACGTGAAGAACCCAGTGCTTGTTCAAATAACCAGAGAATTCTCAAAACAGGGAGGGGTTTTTTAAAGGTTAAAATAAAAAGATGATTCTTTTTTTCTAGGGCCACACGTTGGGCATTATATGACCCATAAAGCATGTGTGTGTCTAAGCCAAAGTGGGATAATCCCCATGTAATCCCCTGTAGCTTTTTAAAATCTTTAATTTGGCCATTTGATTTGTTTTGCTTTTCAATTGAACCCTTTTTAAAATTCAGTTTATGTTTTAATTTTTTTACTTTTTATTTAATATATTACGTTTTATTATCTATTTTATTATTATGGTATGTGTATATATATGTATTTTTTCATTATTTCTTTTACGTATATATTTAATTAAACATTTCTATTCGTCTTCTATATTTTTGTTTACTACTATTATATTATGCTATTTTTTTACCGTATTGTTATTCATTTTTGTCTTCATTACTTATATATGTTTTTATTATTACTATTATAGATTATATTAAATATTTATTTTATATTTTATATTTTTAGGTTATTTTTATTTATTTATTGGTTTTCTCATTTTTGCATTTTCCGGTTTCTTTTTTATTAATATATATATACTTAACATTTTATGTACATGCATACTAATTCATCTATTTACTTACCTTTTTGTTCTTCCCCTTATTCCGTTTATTTATCTTGCACTTTTATTATCATTTTATGTATTTCTATTTACTTTTTTTTCCTTTCTTAATTGTATTTATTTCATCGCCTTTTTCCTCTAATGCTTTTCGTGACATATTGACATATTAAGGGTATATCTTTAATTCATCAGAGGTAAGTAATTCGGATCGTTATTTTACATTTTACTTTAACTTACAATTTTCTTAATTAAAGACAACTGGAAATTACGTAGTACCGAAAGGACGGTTCAAGGGTGCTAATCCTTCCTTGACCGTAACCGACTCCCGAGCCCGACATATTTCTGGTAAGACGCAGATCAGGCAAGAAATAGGGTATCCGATCAACCCATTTATCTTTAAATAAATGATCGGTGGCGACTCCAATCCATATTTTTCAAGTCGAAGCCCAATTCCGGGGCCCAACCGAAAAGACGGTTACGACATAACGAAAAAAAATTAAGCTCATTTATATCATAATCATCCGTTGTGTACTATAATAACAATATCGTGAACTATAACATTGATATTGTATATTGCCATGTAAGCTTTTTGAATTGTCATGTAAGCAGTATGATGGTCAATGCTCGATTCCGTTGGTTAAAAAGTTAGATTGATTTTTTTCTTAATTTAATAGTCACATTGAGTGCAAAACATGTTTAGGGACTAAACTAGTTTCCCCCCCCCCCTAAAAGTTTGAGGACTTCAATTATCACTAAACATATTTCTTTTTTATTTTAAGGACACTTTTGTGTGCTCTTGCTTACAACAATATTTTGTTTATTTTTTAAATTTAATTGATATTTAATATGCATCAACATTATATTCTTATTGTTAACCAAACATATTAAATTTGTGTAATGAATTTTTTAATAGTTACAGTTTAATTTAATTATTTAATAACTATTTGTTCATTTCTATATTATTTTTATTTATGATTTAAGTTTTCATTTGTATTAACCTAACATGTTTTTTAACTTTAAAAAACGGAAAATGAAAACTATTTTCTAAAAACAAAAACAGAAAATATTTGCTATAGAAAATAATTTTCTAGAACCAAACGGCCCCTAATATTTTTTAGGTTTTTTAAATAAAATTTTAATATATATATGACACATGTCGAATAATGATTTTTTAACTATCATTATAACATATGTACTTAAAAAACTAATGTTAAACATTTATTTTTTTCATTAAACCTATTAAAAATACAAAAAAGATAAAAAAAAAAACACACATTTGGTAAAACATGCATTCTTTATTTTGAATTAATTATGTCACGTAAGATAAAAGGTGTATAACATATTTTCTCAAAAATAATTTTTACAAGGCACACCACTTCTCTACGCGACAAAACTATTAATGAATTGTTTTTTTTTATTTTTAAACATATTTAAAAATACACTTGATTTTAAACATTGATTGTTTTCCAAGATGATGTATCAAATAACTACTCTTATTAGAGATTAGAATTTTGAAAACTATAGCAAAAGAATGTACATTATATTCCTAATGCATTAATGAATCAATCTCCATTAAAGATTGCAAGTAATTTAAGAGACAATGATATGCAAAGCAATATTATTCCCATCATATCAAAAGTAACATTAGTAATAAAAAAGAATATTGATTTCCATATAAGTTTCGGATTCCGGATTCGAGCAGCTGCTTTTCGTAGAATGTGCTGATTAAGAAAGTTTTAGATACATACTATCCTATAATCACCCTAAATCACAATAAAAAAAACTATGATAATAGGCCTATAAAGAATCTGATCTGAAATAATAGATCAATAAATCAGACACCAATGATCAAACAAAAAACTACTATAATGTTATCCACCTAATTTGATTGATAAATTCAAAGCCTATGGTTTCATGAAGAATACAACAATGGAAGAACAGTTAATCAAAGGAATTGCTTCCCTTAAATTGCTACTATTCATTTTTGATCCAATCTAAGTAGCAGATAGTTACATCTATTCTCAAAACAAAAGTGAAAATTACTATTTTATAGTCACCCATAGCAATGGGGGCATTACAACAAAACAAAATATACATCTTTTAAACATGAAAGTCAGAGATCCTTTGGCAACAGGAAACCAGATTATTAGAAGCACATTTCCCAGCCCAAAATTTAAACAAACCAAAAAAGCCGAACACACAGAGATCGTTAGTCAAGTTTTATTGAAATCTCACTTGCCCCCCAAAGTTGGGAACTGCCCAGGGTCTTGAATGGAAGGTGCCGCTTCATTGTGTCTCGCTGTACTTCCTCCATCAAAACCTCTTGAACCACGTCCACGTCCACGTCCACTTGGGTTGCAGTACTTCCCCCCTTCAGCAGGCTTCAAAAATTCATTAATGCTGGCCGACTGCCACCAACACCATCACACATCAGGAATTCAGGATAGGTAACCAGTATATGCCGTAAAGAAATTAAGCAAATCTCGGGACAGAATTGCCAAATTGCTAAAAACGGAAAAAGAAAGCAGCACATATGCATGGAAGTTTTGCAACAAACACATCAAATAGATGACTGAAATTGGAATGTATGAGCCAAAACCAGGGAAGCTGGACATGCCGGTTACTAAACAGATGTAAATTACCTTTTTTGCTCTCTCGTCCTTCTCATAAGCCTCTTTTCTCTTATCCTTATCCGAGTCCTGTACAAGACAATTACAGGGAACAGATATTTAATACATATTTGCCGACTAATAAAACAAAGTCATTAATTGGACTTCCCGAACTCAATCAACGGGTCTCAGGTCTCACCAATTTGATGAAGACCTCATCATTACTCTTCTTGTTTGATAGCTGCTGCATAGACTCAAACTCCTTGGCACCTACTTTTCTTCCCTCAGTCTTGAGAGCCAGCAGAGCCTTCCTCTTCTCTTCCAGCACCTTCTCATACTCCTTGAGAGTCATCTCCTATTAAAATAATGAGATCGATGGTTGTACAAAGTAATGACCACTATTAGTAGCTTCGATTTACAATTAGCAAAGGTTGAACACACTAATAACTATCTAAAAATGACTGAACTGTCGGGGGAATCTACCTTATCCTCGGGTTCTTTTTCTTCAGGTTCATTGGTAGGACTTTCCTTGTTAGCATCTCCTGCTGGTTTTTCATCACCTAAATTCTTCTCACCTTCATTGTCTTCTTCAGTCACCCTGAACAAGTCAAAAACAAAAGAAGAACAAGAGCAACTGATGAATTCATTTGATTTTACGATAGCGTTTTAGACTGGGATCATAACCACTAAAGATAACTAACTCACCGAGCAAGCTCATCAGTCTGACTTCCCCAATTTCCACGACCAGAGCCTTCACGTTTGAGCTCATTTCTGCAGTCAGGAACAAGAAACAAGATGCATCAGTTTTCAAGACTTAAATAAAACATCAAATCTAAAGTCGAGCAAAAACTTCTCTTTTTACCCGCGTCCGGTCCTACTACGGCGTTCATACAACCTGTTAGATCTCTCACCATCCCCAACTTCCCCATTATTAAAACCACCAGAGCGGCCACCACAGTAAGGTCGAGGACCACCATAGCCACCACGCCTTCCAGAGGGTTTCCCACCCTCTCCATCTTCAGCTGCACCTTGACCAGCAGGTCCACCAATATTGCTTAAAGAGTTCTCATCATTAGAAAAATCCCGTCTGTATCCACCACTATCACCGCGTCCACGCCCATATCCGCGTCCACCACGGCCTCTGCCTTGTGCACTTTCATTCTTTGCTTCCCTCACTTTAAAAAAAGGCCAAAATGCACATACGTCAGTGTGAAGCCTCAAAAAGCCAATAGCACCTAGAAACCAGAAATAGAACCCTATTGACAGAACATCATTGGATAGTAACAGAAAAAAATCAGACTCCGACATACCAGAAATAAAACACAAACATAAACAAACTCAAAACTCCCCATAGCCAGGGATGGACCGAGGGGGAGCAGCACCCCTGAAAATTTCAAATTATCATTTATTTTAGATATTTTCTATCAATAATCTATTTTCGCCGATAAAATTTTATAAGTTACACCGTCTTAGCAAAAAATCATCCTTCAGTCTCTGCTCATAGACCATTGAAATGAAGTAACTTAACGCATACCAATAACATGTAATAAAATAATAATTTCAGCAAAATCAATGAAATAAAAAGAGAGTAACCTTTTTATTAGGGAAAACTTACCGGCCTGAGCGGGAGGAAGAGGTTTGGAGGGAAGTTTAGCTTGTTTACCCTGAGCTGCAGGTTGTGTCTTAGCCTGAGACTGAGCCGGCCCCTTCTTTGGGGGGGCGACGGCAGCAGCCTTTTGCTGAGCAGCGATCAACAATGATAGTTCCCCGGTATCATCATCACCCAACAAATCAAAAGGGTTCACACTCGTCATCTCTTCAAATTTAAAAAAAATAGAGCCCAAACTAAGCCCCTCCAAGCCCTTTCTTTCTCCTCCCAAAGAAATGATCTTTGCCTTATCACTACAACGAAACCACCATTGAGATTTTCCTTGTTCTGAAACCAAACGAACCTTCGAATAAAATAGATCTGTAAAAAAGGAAAAAAGAAGTTGAGAGAGAGAGAGAGAGCCTAACCACAAAAGATAAGAGAGAGAAACCTAATCGGAAATGAAAAAAGTATTTGCAGTTGTGTGAATGAAGCTCACTCCCTTCATAGAGATTATAATATTATTATTTTAATAAGTGCTTTGCCTTGGTTGACGACTCGACAGTGGAGAGTTGTTCGGCAGGGATAATCATTTTACGAATCGATTTAGTAAACGGTTTGATATTAATTTAAATGGTTTTTTAATAATATTTAATATAAATATTTTTAAATCTTTTATATGATATACATATATTATGTAAAATTAATAAATTTGACTCAAATTTAAAAATTAATGTATTAATTATAAAAAATTTTGAGTTATTTAAATTTTATTTTATAATTTAATTCAAATTTTAATTTTTTTTAAATTAAATCGAGTTAAATTGAATAAAAAAAATTGATTCTTAAGTCAAGAAGAGTTCTGTTAGCCCCTAGTTGGGGAGGGTGGCTTCCATTCTTGGGCTTTGCTTTTGACAGATTTACGAATATGCCATAATGGGATGGATCCATAATTTTATTACTTTATAGGGTAAAATACACAAATAGCCCCCGACTACAAGGTATTACTTTGTTAAGTCTCTAACTATTAAAGTTATAAAATGATCCCTGAATTATGAGTCCTCCAATTATTAAAAGTTACAAAAATTATCATCTTACCATTTATATATTTCAAACTCGTTCTTTTTTGTTAAAAAAATGAAGATCATCTTAGCAGGACATTATCTTGTTGACTAAGATATGATAAAATTTGATCTCAGGGCCATTTGAGTTGTATTTTATGGATCGACTGTTCATTTACATTATATTGTTGAGTTAGTGTTTGAAAGATTATAACGTTGAGTCGGTGCTTGAAAGCAACGACAGTGCCAATATTCATTATTAAAATATGGTTTAATCATATCTTAATCATCATGATAATGTCCAACCTAGATAGCTGCCAATTTTTTTTAAAGAAAAATAGCGATTTTGGAATATATGAATAGTCGAGTGACCATTTTGTAACTTTTAATAGTCGGATGACTCAAAAAAACAATATCCTATATTCGAGAGACAATTTTTTAACTTTTAATAGTCGATGGACTCAACAAAATATCACCCTATAATCGAGGGACCATTTGTGTACTTTATCCTACTTTATATTATATTTTTTCTTTCGATGGAATAATCTCCCTTTTTTATCGAGTACAAGTTCTAAGATAAGGAAGAAAATAATCAATTGTTACTACATTGAATAATTTGGAAAATAAAATTGGTGAAACAAGCAGAATCTGCTTTTAATTGTCGTGGAACCAAGTGTTTTATACCTCTAAATTAGAAAATATTTTATATTTAAATATGTTCGACTTCTAGTTCTTTTATATGTTATATTATTAATCAATTTAAGATGAATCCATGAATAGTTTAAAGAGTAACTTCAGTAACCGAAAATGCCTTATAATATACGATTTTAATCAAATTTTTTTTGGATTTGTGAAAATAACCAATAAATTCGCAACGCGAACTCCAATTTCACAACACAGTTTCCAAATTCGCAACGCAGACTCTAAATTCGACACTTGATTTTCAAATTCACTACGTGAACTCTAAATCCACGACACTAATTCTAAATTCGTTCCCTTAACAACCGGTTTAGACCCGGCATCCTTTTCTTTCCTATAAACTAGCATGAGCCAAAGTAATGCTTTTATGCTAAAATATATATATAGTTTTCCTCTTTAACCTAACCGTAAGTAAAAAAGGTTAAAATATAAATTAGCGTCATAAATTTGGAGAATCGCGTTGCGAATTTGGAATTAGCGTCGTGAATTGGGAGTTCACATCGTGAATTTGGAGAATCGCGTTGCGAATTTGAAAACTGTGTTGCGAAATTGGAGTTCACGTTGCGAATTTATTGGTTATTTTCACAAATCCAAACAAAGTTGGTTAAAATCGTATATTATAAGACATTTTCCATCACTGAAGTTATTTTCTCTAGTTTAAATCGTATAAAAAGGTTTAATTAAAAAGTAAGTACCCAAACTATGTAACTTTTGTTTTAGATGCATAATTTTTTTTATCAAAATAGATACATAATATTTTATTTCGTTTTTATTTTAAGTTCGATATGTTAATAAAATTATCACAATCATTATTGACAAATGATCTGATTTTTATTTTTTTAACTTAGATTCCTAATTTCTAAAAAACATAAAATTCTTAATTTCCCACGAAACCCTCTAAAATATTTAACTCTCTCTAAAATTTCTAAAATCTTTTTCTCATTTCGTTATCTATTATCGTCAAACGTCACCCCGCCGTTGCAGCTATAACCAACCCAAAAATTGACGTTTGCATTTGCTTTATCATAAGAAAAAACTATTAAATTCATTAAAAAATAGATTTTATTACTAAAATTGAATCTAAATGCAAGATGAAATATATATATATATAGACTTATTTTTGTTCGGATTTATATTTATGTATATTATTTATATATTTATATATTTATAAATATATTAATATAGTATATTTTTTGAAAATATTTTTTTAGAAAATGATTTTTTGAAAATGTATATATTATATAGTTTTTAAAACATTTTAAAAACTTATATAATATATAATTTTGAAATTATTTTGAAATATATATATATATAATATAATTTTTAAAAACATTTTAAAAACTTATATAATATATAGTTTTGAAATCATTTTGAAAAACTTATATAATATATAGTTTTGAAATCATTTTTGAAAACTTATATAATATATAATTTTGAAAACATTTTTGAAAACATATATAATATATAGTTTTAAAAACATTTTTTGAAAACATATATAATATATAGTTTTAAAACATATTTGAAAATTATATAATATATAGTTTTGAAAACATTTTTTAAAATATATATAATATATAGTTTTAAAATATTTTAAAATATATATATATATATTATTTATTTTTATTTATATTATTTCATTTTATTAATTTTATTAATTTTATTTGTGGTTCAGGTCCAAAGTCTAGATTCGGGTCAAAGCTCAACCAAGCCTGCAAGCCTGACCAGCAAGTAGACCCGGTGGGAAGCCCAGCAAAGGTCTAGGGATTTTTTTTACACTTAGCACTGGCGCCGCAAAGGAGGTTCTCGAGGGGCATGTGAGGACCACACGCCAGTCAACACAGAAACAGTCGGCCGAGATCCCTGGGACTGAACCATCCCAGGGTGTTCGGTCAACCAACAACATCGAGATCATCAGGACCTAAAACAACCCCTTCGAAGGCTATAAAAGGGAGCCTCGTCGGAGGAGCAGGGGGTACCATACACAATAACAATACCAGTAAAGAACCAAGATCGAAGCCACAACCAAACCCAAAGCAACCGGTAGCCAAACACAACAACGCATCACAAAACAACCAAAGCAAAGTCACACAAAAACACAAAGAACAACCCAACTACACACGAAATACCAAAAAAGCAAACAAAAGAAGCCCGGTCTAGACTTGGGAAAGAAATGGCCGTCGAAAGGTGAAGAGTCGACGAATCAAGGGTAAAAAACCGAAACTTTCACTTTAGATCTACACCGTTTAAGGGATCTTTGAAGGATTTGGGTTTCAAATCGGTGTTGAGGGTGTTGAGAGAAGCATTTTGGTGAGATTTATTTTTTTCCTGCCGCCAGAGCAAAAGTCGGCACGACGGGGAGGCCACCAGGCGATGGCCGACCATCGGGCCGGTTTGATGGGTTGAGAGTTTCTCTCGTTTGGGGGAGAAGATTTTCTTCAGGAAATGAGAGAATGAAGGGAAATGTGGGATTTTTAGGTATTTATATACCAGGGACTACATTGTAATTAAAGGATAGTTAAATCCTTTCCGTCATCCTCCAACTTTTGAAGTGTAATTCATTTTGGTCACCTGTTTCAATTTTTCCTTTTTCATTTTATTCAATTTAATCCATGTTTATACTTTTTATATTTTACGAATTAACCCCCTAATTTTTTTTTCTCTTGCAGTTCATTTTTAGCATTAATTTCAAACTGTAAATTCTAATTTAATTCAATTTGATCCTTTTTTATTTTTTCGGGTTTTTTGTTAATATATATTTTCTTTACATTTTTCTATTTTTTATGTCAAAATTTAACCTTTTTATTTTATTTTTTCGTTTTATTTTATTATTTTTTCTTTATTTTTATTATTTTTCTTCTTACTCAATTTTATCTTTATTTATCTATTTTATTTATTTTATTATTATTATTATTATATTTTAATTTTTCTTCTTTTTTTTAACTTCATTTTCGTTATTATTTTATTATCCTTTTTAACATTTTTTACTTATTTTATTAGTATTTTTAAAACCTTTTTTTTGACCCTTTTTTCATTTTATTTGATATTTCTTTATTATTTTATTTTTTTTTCAATTTAAAACTCTTTTTGCCTTTTTCAGTAATAATCTCAATCGATCAAAGGTAAGTAATTCGAGTTGAATTTTTAAGTTTTAATTTAAATTTAAATTTTCGCAATTAAAGACAATCGACAAGTTAATTGGCACCGAAAGGGCAATACAATGGTGTTAATCCTTCTTTGACTGTAATCGACTCCCGAATCCAACATATTTCTGGTAAAACGCAAATCAGGTAAGAGGGTGTCCGATCCACCTAAATGTTTTTAAAACGATCGGTGGCGACTCTAACGTGTTCTATTTAAGTTAAAGCCCAATTTCGGGCCCACTTGAAAGATGGCCGTGACAGCTTGGCGACTCTGCTGGGGACAGGTAAGTGAGTCAGACCAGAATTAATTTCGGTTGTCTTTTTGAGCGAAAATTATAAGTTTAAATTCTAATTTATTTATTCGATTCTAATTATTTATCTTTGATTGTTTTTTAAATAAATAGTTATATTGACTTTTTTTAATGATTTCAGATTTTTGAAAAAGTTTTCATCTCTGGCTTTATACCCGAGCTCTGAACCCTTTTATGTGGAGGTGAAAGCGACGCCTTAATGAGAATTTATTCTTCGTATGGGCCTAGCAAGTAACATTTGGGATTCATATACCTTATGTCTTCGTGTGAATTTATTCACCGTGCGGGCATAAGGGATTGTATCCTCTCGAGTTTAACTTAGTCCACATGAACTTGTAATGGCCTTAGAACTAA